TTTGGACAGTTAAAGCTTAGCGGTACCTGTTGTTTTGGACAGTTAAAGCTTAGCGGTACCTGTTGTTTTGGACAGTTAAAGCTTAGCGGTACCTGTTGTTTTGGACAGTTAAAGTCACCTTTCCCCTTTTTATAGTTGCATTCCTGCTTCCCCAGCCTATGGTGTTTACATGTCACTGTGTGTGTTAATTCAGTGTCCGCGCACGAGCTTCCTCTGGATATCAGGAATTCCATGAAAGATGCCGACTACTAACGGACAAACCTAAATCACAGGGTTTCCAACATTTTATGGTCGCTATCATGATGTCATTGAATATAAGTATGCTCTGTTTTTACATAAGATGTTATAATAAAGCTTAAGACAAAATACAAAATTTCCTTCCCTTAATAAAACTGTTTTTGTCTTCAAAATATAAAGGTTTAAAGCTGGTTTCAAAAGTAACCTTTTCCATATACCTTTTGATTCAGATTTATACAACGACTTAGGTTTTCACGAAAGACTTGTGAGAATGAACGACGATTTCCCAGGAGCGAACATATTGGTGATCAAAACAGGCCGCGTACCAAAGGTATTACATATGTCACAAATGTTTGAAATATGGGATCAGTATATGGACGTGTATCAGATGTTTATACCCTAAATCAATTCTATGGGCGTGTACCAGATGTTTATATCCTATATCAATTCTATGGGCGTGTACCAAATGTTTATATCCTATAAAGACTTGTGAGAATGAACGACGATTTCCCAGGAGCGAACATATTGGTGATCAAAACAGGCCGCGTACCAAAGGTATTTCATATGTCACAAATGTTTGAAATATGGGATCAGTATATGGACGTGTATCAGATGTTTATACCCTAAAGCAATTCTATGGGCGTGTACCAGATGTTTATATCATAAATCAATTCTATGGACGTGTACCAGATGTTTATATCCTATATCAATTCTATGGGCGTGTACCAAAAGTTTATATCCTATATCAATTCTATGGGCGTGTACCAAAAGTTTATATCCTATATCAATTCTATGGGCGTGTACCATATGTTTATATCCTATATCAATTATATGGGCGTGTACCAGATGTTTATATCCTAAATCAATTCTATGGACGTGTACCAGATGTTCATTGTTTATATCCTATATCAATTCTATGGGCGTGTACCAGATGTTGATATCCTATATCAATTCTATGGGCGTGTACCAAATGTTTATATCCTATAAAGACTTGTGAGAATGAACGACGATTTCCCAGGAGCGAACATATTGGTGATCAAAACAGGCCGCGTACCAAAGGTATTACATATGTCACAAATGTTTGAAATATGGGATCAGCATATGGACGTGTATCAGATGTTTATACCCTAAATCAATTCTATGGGCGTGTACCAAATGTTTATATCCTATAAAGACTTGTGAGAATGAACGACGATTTCCCAGGAGCGAACATATTGGTGATCAAAACAGGCCGCGTACCAAAGGTATTACATATGTCACAAATGTTTGAAATATGGGATCAGTATATGGACGTGTATCAGATGTTTATACCCTAGATCAATTCTATGGGCGTGTACCAGATGTTTATATCCTAAATCAATTATATGGACGTGTTCCAGATGTTTATATCCTAAATCAATTCTATGGACGTTGACCAGATGTTTATACCCTAAATCAATTCTATGGGCGTGCACCAGATGTTTATATCCTAAATCAATTCTATGGTCGTTGACCAGATGTTTATATCCTATATCAATTCTATGGACGTGTACCAGATGTTTATACCCTAAATCAATTCTATGGGCGTGCACCAGATGTTTATATCCTAAATCAATTCTATGGGCGTGTACCAGATGTTTATATCCTAAATCAATTATATGGTCGTGTACCAGATGTTTATATCCTAAATCAATTCTATGGACGTTGACCAGATGTTTATATCCTATATCAATTCTATGGGCGTGTACCAAATGTTTATATCCTAAATCAATTCTATGGACATGTACCAGATGTTTATACCCTAAATCAATTCTATGGGCTTGTACCAAATGTTTATATCCTAAATCAATTCTATGGGCGTGTTCCAAATGTTTATATCCTATATCAATTCTATGGGCGTGTACCAGATGTTCATACCCTAAATCAATTCTATGGGCGTGTACCAAATGTTTATATCCTAAATCAATTCTATGGGCGTGTACCAAATGTTTATATCCTATACCAATTCTATGGGCGTGTACCAAATGTTTATATCCTAAATCAATTATATGGACGTGTACCAGATGTTTATATCCTAAATCAATTCTATGGGCGTGTTCCAAATGTTTATATCCTATATCAATTCTATGGGCGTGGACCAGATGTTTATACCCTAAATCAATTCTATGGGCGTGTACCAGATGCTTATATCCTAAATCAATTCTATGGACGTTTACCAGATGTTTATATCCTAAATCAATTCTATAGACGTGTACCAGATGTTTATATCCTATATCAATTCTATGGGCGTGTGCCAAATGTTTATATCCTATATCAATTCTATGGGCATGTACCAAAAGTTTATATCCTATATCAATTCTATGGGCGTGTACCAAATGTTTATATCCTATATCAATTCTATGGGCGTGTACCAGGTGTTTATATCCTATATCAATTCTATGGACGTGTACCAGATGTTTATACCCTATATCAATTCTATGGGCTTGTACCAAATGTTTATATCCTAAATCAATTCTATGGACATGTACCAGATGTTTATACCCTAAATCAATTCTATGGGCTTGTGCCAAATGTTTATATCCTAAATCAATTCTATGGGCGGGTTCCAAATGTTTATATCCTATATCAATTCTATGGGCATGTACCAAAAGTTTATATCCTATATCAATTCTATGGGCGTGTACCAGGTGTTTATATCCTATATCAATTCTATGGACGTGTACCAGATGTTTATACCCTATATCAATTATATGGACGTGTACCAGATGTTCATACCCTAAATCAATTCTATGGACGTGTACCAGATGTTTATACCCTATATCAATTCTATGGACGTGTACCAGATGTTCATACCCTAAATCAATTCTATGGACGTGTACCAGATGTTTATACCCTATATCAATTATATGGGCGTGGACCCAATGTTTATATCCTATATCAATTCTATGGGCGTGTACCAGATGTTCATACCCTAAATCAATTCTATGGACGTGTACCAAATGTTTATATCCTAAATCAATTCTATGGGCGTGTACCAAATGTTTATACCCTAAATCAATTCTATGGGCGTGTACCAAATGTTTATATCCTATATCAATTCTATGGGCGTGTACCAGATGTTTATACCCTAAATCAATTCTATGGGCGTGTACCAAATGTTTATATCCTAAATCAATTCTATGGGCGTGTACCAGATGTTTATATCCTAAATCAATTCTATGGACGTGTACCAAATGTTTATATCCTATATCAATTCTATGGGCGTGTACCAAATGTTTATATCCTATATCAATTCTATGGGCGTGTACCAAATGTTTAAATTATGTAATAAATCTATGGGCGTGTACCAAATGTTTAAATGCTATGATAATTATATGGGCGTGTACCAAATGTTTAAATTCTTTTATAAATCTATGGGAATGTAACAAATGTTGATATTCTATTATAATTATATGGGCGCGTAACAAATATTTGTTTCTATCATAAGTATGAGCATGTAGTAAACGTTTTCTAACAATACCAATGACGTGTGCTCTATAATTCTACATTGTACATAAGTAGACCTTATGTTTTCCTCATTTTATATCACCTGAGGCGTGGACCAAATTCTCAATCCTCTCGTTATATCCGCCATGGGGAACTCAATGTCTGAATTATATTAGTATATTAGGGCCAAGGTCCACTGTCATGATACACGCCAAGTGTCTTTATCATCTTTATACTACATAATACACCTACCGGTAGCATGATCAACTCCTTAACATAGTTTGTCAGTGTGAGAATACAAAACAAAAAGATAAAAATGACTTCAGACAGCTTAATAATGTATTTTCCCATTTGGGAATGTATTTTAAAAAGAAAGAAAAACAAAAAAGTCTAATCGAGCAAGGTGACCTCCTGAACCGTACTCATTATAACGTTAAGAAGAAATAATTATGTGAATAACAGCACAACTTTCCTCGCGTAAATGTGTAAAATGGGGACCTCAACATTATAAAAGCACTGTGCGTGTATCAAAAGTCTAATATATCATAGATCTCGGGACTTGGACCGATTGTCTGGTTGTATGCAGTCCTAGTAAGACCGTCATAAGTATCGTATTTCTATACAGGTCTAATAAATCCACCATCATAGCTTCTATATTCTAGCCAGACCTATTGTTTCGTTTTGTGTTTCATGTCAAACCCAGTAGAGCCACTAACATTGCGGACGATAATTTCCAAACTGGAATAATTGTCCGACTGTGTATTTAAGTATCCTATTTTAATCATTCAAATTAAAAAAAAAAAAAATCAACAGGTTGTAATTAGTCATCAACAGTGTGATATGTAGCTGTTGTAAGTCTAAATTAAATTTTACCATTTCCCTATGACGTGTATAGTAGTCATATTATTGACTTTGTGTAGGGTATATCAGCCCTTTATCAATAGCATTAATTTCAAGCCCCGAGATTACTTGTGCGTTAAGCATGTCTTGTTTATCAGAAAGCACAAAACTTCATATCATGTATTGTAAGCATTATACAGTATTGATACAAAATAAGATAAATATCCATTAAAAAGAAACATTACGTTTCTTTGAAACTGCTGTTATCGTGGAGTACTTTTCTTTCTTTTTAAGGCTTTTAAACAACTTTGGTCCAATGGGAGATTACTGAATGTCGTTGAGCAGCTTATTGGACCAAACATTGCTGGCAATCCTGTATGGAACATTCGCGCCAAGATTCCTAATGACGAAGATACAACAGTTCCATGGCATCAGGGTAGTACAAACGTTTATATATAATATCAGGGTGGTACAAACGTTTATATTTTATCAGGGTATTACAAACTTTTATAAAATATCAGGGTCGTACAAACGTTTATATCATATTAGCATGATAGAATCGTTTCTATTATATCAGGGTAGTACAAACGCTTATATAATATCAGGGTATTACAAACGTTTATAATTATAATATCAGGGTAATAGGAACGTTTATATGTAATAGCAGGGTAGTACAAACGTTTATGTATTATATCAGGGTAGCACACACGCTTCTGTATGATATCACGGTTTTAAACACGCTTATACATTGTATACTAAAATCAAAGGAATACATCGTCATAAATATAAAAGGAGATCATTATTAATTCGAAGACAATACAAAATTATCGAGAAGAACAAAAACAGGAAGGGCATAAAAACATAAGGAACGACATCAAGAAACACAATGAAACATCGAAGGTACACAAACGGATACCCCTGACGTATACCTGTATCTACATTCGCCGTATACCTGTATCTAACTTCGGCGTATACCTATATCTAACTTCGGCGTATACCTATATCTCACTTCGACGTATACCTATATCTAACTTCGGCGTATACCTGTATCTAACTTCGACGTATTCCTGTATCTACCTTCGACGTATACCTATATCTAACTTCGGCGTATACCTATATCTCACTTCGACGTATACCTATATCTAACTTCGGCGTATACCTGTATCTAACTTCGACGTATACCTGTATCTAAGTTCGACGTATACCTGTATCTAACTTCGACGTATACCTGTATCTCACTTCGACGTATACCTGTATCTAACTTCGGCGTATACCTATATCTAACTTCGACGTATACCTGTATCTACCTTCGACGTATACCTATATCTAACTTCGGCGTATACCTATATCTAACTTCGACGTATACCTGTATCTAACTTCGACGTATACCTGTATCTACCTTCGACGTATACCTATATCTAACTTCGGCGTATACCTATATCTAACTTCGACGTATACCTGTATCTAACTTCGACGTATACCTGTATCTAACTTCGACGTATACCTGTATCTAACTTCGACGTATACCTGTATCTAACTTCGACGTATACCTGTATCTAACTTCGACGTATACCTGTATCTAACTTCGACGTATACCTGTATCTAACTTCGACGTATACCTGTATCTAACTTCGACGTATACCTGTATCTAACTTCGACGTATACCTGTATCTAACTTCGACGTATACCTGTATCTAACTTCGACGTATACCTGTATCTAACTTCGACGTATACCTGTATCTAACTTCGACGTATACCTGTATCTAACTTCGACGTATACCTGTATCTAACTTCGACGTATACCTGTATCTAACTTCGACGTATACCTGTATCTAACTTCGACGTATACCTGTATCTAACTTCGACGTATACCTGTATCTAACTTCGACGTATACCTGTATCTAACTTCGACGTATACCTGTATCTAACTTCGACGTATACCTGTATCTAACTTCGACGTATACCTGTATCTAACTTCGACGTATACCTGTATCTAACTTCGACGTATACCTGTATCTAACTTCGACGTATACCTGTATCTAACTTCGACGTATACCTGTATCTAACTTCGACGTATACCTGTATCTAACTTCGACGTATACCTGTATCTAACTTCGACGTATACCTGTATCTAACTTCGACGTATACCTGTATCTAACTTCGACGTATACCTGTATCTAACTTCGACGTATACCTGTATCTAACTTCGACGTATACCTGTATCTAACTTCGACGTATACCTGTATCTAACTTCGACGTATACCTGTATCTAACTTCGACGTATACCTGTATCTAACTTCGACGTATACCTGTATCTAACTTCGACGTATACCTGTATCTAACTTCGACGTATACCTGTATCTAACTTCGACGTATACCTGTATCTAACTTCGACGTATACCTGTATCTAACTTCGACGTATACCTGTATCTAACTTCGACGTATACCTGTATCTAACTTCGACGTATACCTGTATCTAACTTCGACGTATACCTGTATCTAACTTCGACGTATACCTGTATCTAACTTCGACGTATACCTGTATCTAACTTCGACGTATACCTGTATCTAACTTCGACGTATACCTGTATCTAACTTCGACGTATACCTGTATCTAACTTCGACGTATACCTGTATCTAACTTCGACGTATACCTGTATCTAACTTCGACGTATACCTGTATCTAACTTCGACGTATACCTGTATCTAACTTCGACGTATACCTGTATCTAACTTCGACGTATACCTGTATCTAACTTCGACGTATACCTGTATCTAACTTCGACGTATACCTGTATCTAACTTCGACGTATACCTGTATCTAACTTCGACGTATACCTGTATCTAACTTCGACGTATACCTGTATCTAACTTCGACGTATACCTGTATCTAACTTCGACGTATACCTGTATCTAACTTCGATGTATACCTGTATCTAACTTCGACGTATACCTGTATCTAACGTCGCTGTGTACCTGTATCTAACTTCGACGTATACCTGTATCTAACTTCGACGTAAACCTGTATCAAACTTCGGCGTATACCTATATCTACCTTCGACGTATACCTGTATCTAACTTCGACGTATACCTGTATCTATCTTCGACGTATACCTGTATCTCACTTCGACGTATACCTGTATTTAACTTCGGCGTATACCTTTATCTAACGTCGACGTATACCTGTATCTAACTTCGACGTAAACCTGTATCTAACTTCGACGTATACCTTTATCTCACTTCGACGGATACCTGTATCTAATTTCGACGTATACCTGTATCTACCTTCGACGTATACCTGTATCTAACTTCGACGTATTCCTGTATCTAACTTCGACGTATACCTGTATCTATCTTCGACGAATACCTGTATCTCACTTCGACGTATACCTGTATTTAACTTCCGCGTATACCTTTATCTAACGTCGACGTATACCTGTGTCTAACTTCGACGTAAACCTGTATCTAACTTCGACGTATACCTTTATCTACCTTCGACGTATACCTGTATCTAACTTCAACGTAAACCTATATCTCCCTTCGACGTATACCTGTATCTAACTTCGGCGTATACCTTTATCTAACGTCGACGTATACCTGTGTCTAACTTCGACGTAAACCTGTATCTAACTTCGACGTATACCTTTATCTCACTTCGACGGATACCTGTATCTAATTTCGACGTATTCCTGTATCTACCTTCGACGTATACCTGTATCTAACTTCAACGTATACCTATATCTACCTTCGACGTATATCTGAATCTAACTTCGACGTATACCTGTATCTAACCTCGACGTATACCTGTATCTACATTCGACGTATACCTATATCTACCTTCGACGCATATCTGTATCTAACTTCGACGTATACCTGTATCTATCTTCGACGTATACCTGTATCTCACTTCGACGTATACCTGTATCTAACTTCGCCGTATACATGTATCTAACTTCGACGTAAACCTGTATCTAACTTCGCCGTATCCCTTTATCTCACTTCGACGGATACCTGTATCTAATTTCGACGTATTCCTGTATCTACCTTCGACGTATACCTGTATCTAACTTCGACGTATACCTTTATCTCACTTCGACGGATACCTGTATCTAATTTCGACGTATACCTGTATCTACCTTCGACGTATATCTGTATCTAACTTCAACGTATACCTGTATCTAACTTCGACGTATTCCTGTATCTAACTTCGACGTATACCTGTATCTATCTTCGACGTATACCTGTATCTCACTTCGACGTATACCTGTATTTAACTTCGGTGTATACCTTTATCTAACGTCGACGTATACCTGTGTCTAACTTCGACGTAAACCTGTATCTAACTTCGACGTATACCTTTATCTCACTTCGACGGATACCTGTATCTAATTTCTACGTATACCTGTATCTACCTTCGACGTATAATGTATACCTGTATCTAACTTCGACGTATACCTTTATCTCACTTCGACGGATACCTGTATCTAATTTCTACGTATACCTGTATCTACCTTCGACGTATAATGTATACCTGTATCTAACTTCGACGTATACCTGTATCTAACTTCGACGAGTACCTCTATCTAACTTCGACGTATACCTGTATCTAACTTCGACGTATACCTGTATCTAACTTCGACGTATACCTGTATCTGACTTCGACGTAAACTTGTATCTAACTTCGACGTATACCTGTATCTAACTTCGACGTATACCTGTATCTAACTTCGGCGTATACCTGTATCTAACTTCGACGTATACCTGGATCTAACTTCGACGTATACCTGTATCTAACCTCGACGTATACCTGTATCTACCTTCGACGTATACCTTTATCTAACTTCGACGTATACCTGTATCTAACTTCTACGTATACCTGTATCTAACTTCGACGTATACCTATATCTCCCTTCGACGTATACCTGTATCTAACTTCGACGTAAACTTGTATCTAACTTCGACGTATACCTGTATCTAACGTCGCTGTGTACCTGTATCTAACTTCGACGTATACCTGTATCTGACTTCGACGTATACCTGTATCTAACTTCGGCGTATACCTATATCTACCTTCGACGTATACCTTTATTTAACTTCGACGTATACCTATATCTACCTTCGACGTATACCTGTATCGAACTTCGACGTATACCTGTATCTAACTTCGACGAGTACCTCTATCTAACTTCGGCGTATACCTGTATCTAACTTCGACGTATCCCTGTATCTAACTTCGACGTATACCTGTATCTGCCTTCGACGTAAACTTGTATCTAACTTCGACGTATACCTGTATCTAACCTCGACGTATACCTGTATCTACATTCGACGTATACCTATCTCTACCTTCGACGTATACCTTTATTTAACTTCGGCGTATACCTGTATCTACCTTCGACGTATACCTATATCTAACTTCGGCGTATACCTATATCT